CCACCTGGATGCGTAGGTCTCCCCGTCCACCCCTCCCTCCCTCCCTTCCCCGCTCCCACGGAGAGCTGATCCCGATAGATTGCACACTTGCACACACCATTTCGGCAGCTGAACCGGTCCGAAGCCATGCGGCCACACTTTAGGCGACTGTCAAACGCTCAAAACCGGGAACGGGTTAAGCTTAAGGTCCTGTCTTACGTTACCAAGGGCTTTCACACTATTTTATTTATTCTGAAGTAATCAGGGGCTGAAATTAAAATACGGGGAGAAAACATAATCACTGGAAAACAAATTACTCTGGATGTCTTAACCTACGTGCAGCGAACTAGCTTAAAACAAGAGCACAAGGACAGAGGGGTTTATAGCCGTAAAAGCCGTCGGTCGTAGGTTCATCTCCTTCATGAGCAAACTGCCTTTTTAACCTGTACAGTTGCAGTATTCTTATTACTTTTTCCCTCTTTAAATGTAAGAGAAATATACATGTATTTTAGGAATGTGTGAGGAAAGGTTTGGGATTTATGTTGTGTTAAGTCTTCTCGGTCTGTGGCTGGTCTAATTTAATGTCAATGTTGGAAGCTCTAGTTTTACATACTGTTATAAAGATGCCAAACTCTCTTGAAAGAGATCCAAATTTAACACTTGAAGAAATATTTTTTTGTATTTTACCTGAGATGCAGGGGCACAAAGGGATAAAAGTCTTACGGCGTTAGCGTAGCTCCACGTCTAGGATACAGGACTAGCTTTTTGCAGAGGGTTAGGAACGGTGGTTTTATATTAAAATATGAACTGGAAACTCTTATTTAGGTATAATTTTCTTGAGGAAAAGGATTATTGTATATGTTTGAGACTGGAGTTTAGTTAGATAATAAAAAGAATAATAAATAAAATGACATGACTGAATTGTGGTGGACCAAGCTGATCCGTGGTGGGACCTCTCTGGAGCCACAGATCCGTCTGGTCCACTCTCTCTGGCAGAGTTTGGGCGTAGGGGACAGGGAATTCATGGCCAAAAAACTGACCTCATCCACTCTCCTACTGTGGGTGAAACTAGTGTATTTTAATTCCTTTATAAAAGCTTTTCCACTGCAATAGAGTACGAACAAGCTCTACGCAAGCAAACCTTTAACATTTGAAATCTTTTATTTAAACATCTAAAACAGGGTAAAATGTGACTTAAATCTCGTGGTTTTTAAGTAGACTTCCAAATGCGAAACACAAAATAGCACTTTTTTTTTTTTTAAGATTTATATAGCTTTTCCCACTGCAGTTTCACCTATAGGAAAAAAAAAAAAAAGGAAGATTATATGAAATTCTCTTTTGTTTTGTTTTGTTTTGATGGTATCTATTGATGTTTGACACATTAGTAGGTACTTTGAAAACCTGAAATTTTATAATAGCTTTAGGATTATATTTTATAAAATCCACTCTGACTATATTTTAAAACATAACAAAAACTATCCCCCCAAAATATCCATCACTTGTCTGTGTGTCCCACTTAGCATTCTCCCCTTGCCCCCTTCCCTTCCCTGGTTTCTGGTGCACTATACTTGACCTTATGAAAAGCTTTCTCTATCAACTTTTTTGCTATCTCCTCATTTCTTTTCCTAAAAGCTTTAGAAGAGTTTCTATACCCTTTGTATGATCACAGCATTGTTTTATATCATCCACCTGTCAGTTGTGTCCCAGCGTGCTGGAGGAGCGGCGGTTTTTGCCCTGGGCTGTTCCCAGTGGATACAGTCAGAGCTCACATACTGGAAGGCTGGTACTGGGAAGGTACCGTGGCTCTTGTACATAATGTCATGACATGTCTATGTCAAAGGTTCTTATATATTTCTTTTATAAGCTGAAAGAAGGTCTATTTTTATGTTTTTAGTTCTATGAATGGAACGTTGTAAATGCCTGTCAGAAATAAAATACTGGAAAAAAAAAAAAATTGCAGGTATTTGCAGCTCATTTATCACATACCAGGCCTTACACAGAAGGTGGGACGGGGAGGAGTTCCTGCATCCTCACCTGCCAGGTGCTGTAGCTCAGGAAGGAGCCCTCAGGTAAGGCTGAGCTCGTGTTTTTCCAAGGGCAGTGTTGCCATTTTCCTTATGACATCCATAACTAGTCATGCCTGGTTCTTCTTCTGGGCTGGTCACGAGGAACCTTCAGTGTGCATTTTAAAATGCAAAATAAAAAGCAGCAAATTCCAGAAGGAATTCCAGTTACACCAGAAGAGCTCTCTCCATGGCCAGTTCTTTGACTAACCCCTCTTCTCTCGGGGTGCTGAATTTCAGCCCAGACACAAGGAGTGTGCTGTGGGTTGGTGTTTTGTGCAGCCTGAGCAGGAGCTTCCCGGGCCCCCAGCTGAGACCCTGACTCCCACCTTAGGGGAACTCCTCAGGGGAACTAGGACTGCTGGTGTACAGGCAGGTGGGTTCTGTGCTTGGCTTCTGGCAGGCTGTCCCTAAAAGGTGGGCTGGTGGGCGTTTGGGAACTGTTTTTTTAGAAGACAAGGCATTGCCAGAGCTGTGAGAAGAGCCTTGCACAGCGCCTGGGTCTTGCTTGCAGTAGAACAGCAGTGGGAGAGCACTGGCACCCTGTACCATGGAGGTCTGGGAGGTGCTTTAACTCTCATTTTACCAGCCAGTTGCTTTTGTTGTCTCCTCCAGCAGACTTGCTCTCCTTGCACCGGCTGCAGGAGAGCACAGCGAGGGCTTTGTTTCTGAGGTATTGTCTCTGCAAAGAACAGGTCAAAGATGTGACCCTGCCACAGCTCCTGTTCCTGCTCCCAGCCACTTGGGCAACTTGCTTTCCTTTTAATTTTATCCTCAGCAGTTGCTGAGGTGTTTCTGCTGAACACTGGACTTGCCTTTTTGAATCCTTTCCCTCACCAGACCTGCCCTGCATGTTAATTGAAGACTGTCAGCGTGTCAGCACTGCCGAATGGATCTGACCCAGCCTTTTGGAAGCTTGCTCTGACTCTGCCTTATTCTGGGAGAGAAGCAGGGTGAAAGAAAGCCTTCAAAAATTGCTTTTTTTCGGCCACATCCTGTTAATAACATGTAGCAGCTCTGTGTTATACATGGGTGTGAGCCTGAGGGTTTTGCAAGGATGAAATAAGGATGAAATCCTAGAGCAGCCATAGGGCCTGGGTAAGTTGTTCCCATTTTAAGCTTGGCAAATAAAGGAGGCGTACACTCAGGGTCCTGTAGCAGGCCTGGGGTGCTGGTGGAGGGCTCACATGTTCAGCCATGAGTCTGGTCGATGTTTCCTCCTCATTAATGTAAAGGAATAATTAGTTGTGGTAAGGGATCGTTTCTCGTAAAGGGGGCAGAAAAGTCACAGTAGCTGGGATTTCTGTGTCCAGGATGTGCAGCTGTGGTGTCCAGCTTGCTTTCTCCTTTCAATTCTGTGTTTTCAGTCAATTTAATAAGAGGGAGAGGGAATAATTGTTGCCATTAAAATGGGGTACGGTGTATGGAGCAGTTCCTGCAGCAGTGGCACTTCCTGCAGCCATTTAATGTTTGCTACTTAGAGTAGGATTATTTTCAGCTTGTAATACTGCCAGACTAATCCAAAACCTTCAGGAAGCCAGTGAAGTGGTGAAATGAAGACAGGGAGTGAAGGCATCAATCAGAAAAGAGCACACAGCTACAAGAGAAGGCACACAAGAGGTGACAAAGTGACACGTGTATTCCAGCTTCAGATCTGAAATCCTTCCCACTGCTTTGGCTTTCAAGCTCTGCTACCACCAGCAGGAAACAGAGGAAGACAGAGGGAAACTTCCTCCTGCATGTGCTCCTGCAATTCCATTCACAGTTTGGAGAGAGAAATACCAATATCTTGTTCGGGGGGGGGAAATTGTTTGAAACAAGTGACATAAGGAAATAGGGAATAATTAGAAATAGCATACTGAAGGAAAAAAAAAAGGGAGCAAGAGGGCCTGAAATTAATTAATGTTTCAGGAACCAGATCAAAGCAGGAAACTGAGATTCATAAATCTGCAGAGGGGTGTGAATAGAATATTAAATATGTGCTAGGCTGCCCGTGGAAGGAGAGCAGGCTCCCAGTCCACACCTGGGGTGCTCAGTGTGGAAAGGAGGAGGCCAAACTCTTCTCCACACAGCTCCATGTTCCTAAATAAGTGCTGGATGAACCTCTGCACTCCCTGTGCCTGCAAGAACCGCGGGCACCGGGTGCTCTCCTGCCGCTCAGACCGCCCGGGCTGCCCCCTGTGAATTCGGAGCGCGGCCACAGGAACACTTTGCCCACGGACACAGCGCTGGGGACACTGAGGGTCAGCACAGACACACGGGCTGGCCAGGATCAGCTGCTGCCAGGGCCAGAGAGTAGCCTCTGGCACTGCATTTTAAACCCAATTCCAGCAGCTTTCCCTTCCGCTCCCAGAGAAAACTCCCGATGCCTTGTGCAGCCACGGGGGAGGTCCCGGGCGGGTCGTGGCTCCTCGGGTTTCCTCCATGGAAGCTCCGTGAGCCTTGAAGGTCTCCTTTGGCTGCCCTGTGTGCTTCCCCCAGCCGAGCTGAAGGCTTTGCCCCGCTCACCCAGGGGCAGCACAGCCCCCCTGCCCGGGTCTCCAGCTCGCCGTGGCTCTCCCTGCCCTCCCGGTGCGCCCCTGCCCTCCGGTCCCGCAGCATCGCTGCCCCCGAGGGCATCGCTGCTCCCCGTCGGGGGGCTGAGGAGCTGTTTCAGCAGCTCCTGCCCCCCCCGGGTGCTTTCCCCGGGTCGATCTGGGCCAAAACCCCGGGGCTGCATCTCCGTTCCAGCCGCGGCCAGCGGGGGTCCCTCTTCTCCCGCAAATCCCGCCGCGCTCCCGGGCTTCGGCTCCCTTGAAAACCGGGGATTTCCGCTGTGATGGAGCAAATACGGAGAAAATGAATCCCAGGCAGGAGCACTCCGGAGGCAGCATCCTCATCCTCTGGAGGCATCCCATCCCGCCCGAGCTGGGGTTTGCGTCATTCCATTAGGGAAAGTAATTTCCAGGGATAGACTCAGATTCACTTCGTCTCAGCAGAGATTAAACCCCTTTAATTAACTCCTCAAGAGATATTAGGGAGCCGAGTAACTTTGTGGTCGTTTAAGCCCTACTGAGACTGGGAGTGATGCTCCTGACCAGAAGGTTCCCCTCTGGTGGAGGAAGAAGGATTCTCCCTCAGTCTTTTCTGCTATTTTGTGCTCCAAAGGGACCCAAGGATCGCATCAAGGATTTAGGAAGGAGGGACAGGATAGGGATAACACCTCCTAACAGGTAAAAGGGTCAAGGCCATCCAGCTGCTCTGTGCCATCACCTGTGCCAGTGCTTCAGACAGCAGGCAAACACTGTACAAAGAAGAAACAGATTTTGTACTTGCAAATCTTGAAAGATTTCCACCTTGATCTCCACCTCCCCTATTGCTTTTGCAGGATCTGCAGGGCAGTGTGGGATCCAGCAGCCTCTCACCAAGACCATTTACAGATTTCTGCTGAGTCTTCCTGGCAAGCCCTGGCTGGGCAGTGGCTGGGTGGGTCACGACAAGGGCACTGAAGTTTGTTTAAAAATGGCCATGGGGAGCATTCTGCAGTTCTCCATGATACCAGAGAGTTTGGGGAAAAACTTGACTGCTGGAGAAGGCAGAGGGATGTGGAAGCAAGCTTTGCTACAAATGCAATTGAGTGAATCCACTTCGTCCTCTGCCACACGTTCCTGGTACAGCACTAAAAATGGCCTTTAGATCCCCAGTAAGAAACTAAAAGACTCAACCAGAGGAAGAGCATCAGCTTTCTTCGAGGTCACTGCAGTACCAGACTATTAGTTGAATCATGCACTGGAATACTCCAGGAAAAGGAGATAAAGACAGCAAAAAAAAAAAAAAAAAAAGGTTACTTGAAAAGATGAGAAAATCCAATCCTCTGCCCCCTGTAAACATCACAAAGCACGAGAAAGCCAGCGGCTGGTAATGAAAAGGTTTTTTAATGACCCTTGTTTGCCTGCCTCCTGTTTAA